ATACGTTTAGTACCTTTTATACTTTTTATACCTTTTCTACTTTTGTATTGTTGTTATTATATAATTTATATTAGTTGAAAAGCTATATAAACCCTAGCTTTTACCTTCTCTTGCACTCTAGGATTTGTTCCCTACAATCTTTAAGTTATTTGGATTCTTTAGCCATAGATACCTTAGGATAGCCTTATATCTTAATATTGTACCATAAATAAATATATCTTAATAAACATTTATCTTACTCTTGTATAAACTATACTGAATCACCCTAGTGAAGTCATATTTCACTTCCACACCGCTTCATATCTATTCTGACCCTATATAGATCTCTGTCGCCATGTGCTGTATTACAAGTACTATATTTTAAAGAAGGCTATAGTTCACTTGTAACAATATAACAATACATCATGAATATAATAAGGTTCCAGATTTCAGGTTCTAATTTAGTGCTATACAAAATTTCAGTTCAGCCCTATATAAAGGACTAGATCGCTGATTTTATATGATTTAATCTTATTTTTCTCTTCATAATACAACTTCTGCTTTTCTTGTGAAATTTTTATTTTTTTAGCAGCTAATTGTCATGCTTTAGTAACCAATAAATTTTCTAGTCGACGATATATTTGCTCTTGTAATTCTTCCTCAGTTCCAGGCCTAGTTTGATAGGTTATAAAATTTGTCTCAATTGGAAAAATAAACTCTCGTCCATATAATAGGTAAAAGGGTGTGTACCCCATAACACTGTGGACAGTAGTACGATAAGCAAAAAGAGCCAGAGCAATATATTTGTCCCAATCTTTTCCAAACTAATTTACACATTTAACTAAAATTCCACATAGAGTCCGGTTGAATTGTTCCACCATATTGTTGGTCTGGGATGATAAACTATTGAGGTTCGATGATCAATATTTAATTTCTTATACCAAGGTGTTGCAGGAGTATATTTCTTGGTCTGACAATATTTCTCTAGTGCTTCTATGTTGGAAAATTATATCCTCTAATATGAAAATAGCAGCACTTTCAGCATTAACCTTTTCTAAGGCACATGCCTCTGGCTACTTGGTAAGATATTCTGTAGCAACAACGATATATCAATTATTACTTGAAGCGATAGGAAGAGGTCTCATGATATCAATTCCTATCCTGTCAAATAGTTTTTCTATTTTGATAAGATATAAAGGCTCGCAGATGTTAAGTTTCTTTTTCTTCTAGCATATATTACAAGTACGGATATATTTTTTTATACCTTTGCCTATTTGGGGCCAATAATATTGGGTGGCTACTCCTAGTAAGTGGAATAAAAACCTATATGTCCAGAAAGCATATTGTCATGGAAGCTAAATAGTATAATTTTCTTTTTTTACTTTCAGAAGATGTGTTAAATCTTTAAAATCTTTCTTATATAAAAGGCCTTCTATAACTTTGTAGTGTTGAGTTTTATATCTTAGAGCTTGAATTTCTTTGGAAGTATAATGAGACAGAACTTCAGCACTTATAAGTTAACGTAGGTATAGAAAATATCTTTCCAAATCCATACTCGCTAACTTGGTCTAATTTGGGTTATTTTACTAATTAAATAAGTTTTAAACTTAAAGAGTAGAATTTAAGTAAAACACCAGGACACCGTAACCTGAACTAGATTAATGAATTTTTGAAGATAAGTAATAAAGTTCTAAAAGAAGTAAATTTTATTTTTATCGGATTCTAAAAATTTGATATTTAAAATTTTAAGAGGTTTTGTAACAATGCTTCCTTAAATTCGGGAAAGACTATCAACATTGGTATGAAGCTTGCCGGGCGTATGTACAGTGGTAAATAAATATTCTATTAGGGTTATAACCCATTTGGCAAGACAGTTTTGTGGTAATTTGATTTCGAAAAGATATTTTAGCATTGAATAATCAGTATAAAAGATGAAACAGTTATCATGAAGATAGGAGCAAAAATATCCTATGGCCCATACTACAGTCAAACATTCTTTTTCCATTACTGCATAGTTTTTTTCAGCTGAGGTAAGACTATGACTAGTGTAAAAAATTACTTGCTCATACCTATCTTTGTTATTTTGAAACAAAATAGCACCTAATGCCACATCAGACATGTTGGTAAAAAGTATAAATGTTTTTTCAAAGTCAGAATAAGCTAGGACTAGAGCAGTAATTAGTTTTTTCTTTAATTCTTCAAAAGCCTATTGTTGGTCTGCAGTCTATTGGTAATTAATATTTTTCTTTAATAGATAATTAAGAGAAGCGGCTATATTGGTAAAATTTTTGATAAACTTTCTATAATAGAATGTTAATCCTAAAAGGCCGTGTAATTACTATAAGTTCTTTGGAATAGGAAAATTTTTGACAGTCTTTATTTTTTTTGGGTCTGTAGCTATTCCTTTTTTATTTATTGTATGCCCTAGGAATTTTAATTCTTCATAGCCAAAGTGACATTTAGATGGGTTTAGCTTAAGGCCGGCTAATTCAAGCCAGTCAAAAATTAATTTTAAGTGATACAAATATTCCTCAAAGGTCTTGAAAAAGACATTTATGTTATCAAGATAGACAATTACATATTTTCCAATTAAGTCCTGAAACAAGTAGTCCATCAACCACTAAAATGTAGCAGGAGCATTGGTTAGCCCAAAGGGCATAACATTAAACATATAAGTCCCAAAGAGAGTTGTAAAAGCCATCTTTATTTTGTTGTTTTCTTCTACCTTGACTTGCCAATAACCACTAGCCAAGTTGAGGGAACTATACCAGGAAAAACTATTCAGAGTATCTAGTAGATCTTGAATATGCGGTAAAGAGAAATTATCTTTTTGCGTGACCGAATTCAATTTTCGGTAGTTAACACAAAATTGTGTCTGACCATTTTTTTTAGGCACTAACACAACTGGAGACATCCAAGGGCTCTCGCAAGAGTGTATAATTCTTTCCTTTATCATCACCCTGATTTTATCTTTAATAACCTTTTTTTCTGCAGAAGAATATCAATATGGATATTTTTTAATTGGTAAGGCATCTTTAGTTCAGATATGATGTTTAACAAGATTTGCTTGTCCTAACTGTTCCCCTTCCCATACAAATAATTTAGTCTTCTTATTAAGCAGCACATAAAGCTGATTCTTATTATCTTCATTAAAAGCTTCAATTAAATAGGTATTTTTTTGTTTCAGATTTTTCCTATAGTAATAATTAAATATATCTTTAATTTTTTTAGTCTGTTTATTGGCTAAAACTTCAGTAGTAATATAACTTTGGGAGTCCCTACTAACTCCCTCTTTCTCTAAATAGGCATTTCCTGCTAAATTGTATTGACAGATTACTGCTAAGGGTCTTCGCTTATTCTTATCAAGCTTAAGTTGTCTTCTTACTTCATCTATATTATCATCTGTATCGGAATCGTTCTCACCAAACTTATATTCTGCAATTTTGTTTCTCCATCTAGATTTGTACTAGTCAAAATTTGAATTGTTTGACTCATCCGAGTCACTTTCAAGAAAAATCGCCGAAGGGACACCATTAGGGCTGCTTATAAAGGGTGATATTAATCTATTACTATTTCTAAAATTAGTTGTACTTGAAGAATTTTGTGGGTATATAAATGGGTTAAATAACTGGTTGTTGAATTTGTTTTAAGGTAGAATTTCAAAAGAAAGTGGGATGTGATTAAAACTATTATCATTAATTTTATATATAGAGAATAGGAGCTGGAGAGTCTACTTGGAAACCTGAGGTACCCAAAATTTCAGTTGAATTAGAAGGATTAGAGTTAGCAATATTAGCGACCAACATTGAGTCATCTAAAGACTCAGAAGAAATAGTAGAAGTAGATGAAGGAGTATTTCAGTTTAAAATCCCATCTTCTGAAGACTCGGATAAACTTGAGATTGTTGGAGTACATCAGAAAATTTTTATACTAGAAATACATCGATATATAGCAACAAATCGATATATATCGATTAAAAAATATCAATATATATCGATAAATATATAAAAACATCGATATATATTTGACAAATGATAGATATCATAAATAGATAAATATCGATATATATCAAACTAACATTATATATCGTAAAATATATTATCGATATATATCGTTAGTTCGATATATATTGCTGTCTAGCTTCTATATAATTATCAATATCAAACGATATTTGATATAGAGCGATATATATCTCCATGATCAAATTTTATCCTCAAAGAAAATAAATCGTTACATATCAAATAATCAATATATATTGATAGTATTTTAGCAATATGTCAGGTATTGAAAAAAACAATACATATCGATATTATATTTTCGCTAGTATATATATATATGATAATTTGATATTTATTTATTTATAGCTTATACCAGTATTTAGTATTACATTGTTATTTATAGCTTATATAATCTCCATTATTAATTTATTGTAATACAATATTTAACACTTTTGACTTTCATAATTATTTTAAAAAATATATGCTTTAAATATTAAAACATGAAAATGTTTACTAAATATTCATTTTTTTTATCAAATCTCGGGACTATATAAATGGTTTTATCTATACATTCTATTGGGATACAACCATATTGCTTAATTGATTTTAATCTTGGGCACCCTATAATTTGTTCTCTTCTTCTTCATACTACCGAACGAGTGCAAATTCATGCGGCTCTTTGTTTGCCGCTTGGTAAAATTTGAGTATTAACAATACCTTAAAATTAATAATCATTATATTAGTATATAATTACTCACGTAGTTTGATAATAAGAATATTGTTTATCTTCAGATTTGTTTCACTTTCATTATTACTTGTTATTATTTATTATTATTAATATAATATTAACATTATACTTATATATTTGCAATATCAGATACTTACTAAGCCATACCAATTTACATCTTTATTTTCAACCTCAGCACTAACTATAATGTTAGAAAACAAAGGTTTTTTATGAAATTTTGGGGAAGCACGAATTATATCAGTGCTGTCAATTGACACTAATGCAAAGAATTCTATTTTTGCATCATTGTCAATTGACATAGTTGATTCATCTTCAAAAAATTCATCAAGACCAGACAGCAGATTTTGTAAGCCTTCGGTTTGTAAAGAGTCTATGTCTTTATTTTTTTTGGAGGAAGTCATCAATGCCTTCCAAATTTATCGTCTACAGCTGCTTTCCAAACCCTTTTGTTTTTCGTTTCCTCTTAGAAACTTCTTTTTCAGTTAACTTTTGTCTTTTAACCTAAATTTCAATTATTAATGATATATAACAATTTTTATTTAATATAGGTTGTGCTGCTCATCTCATCAACAATTATTTCACTGAAAATTTACTTAGTCGATATCACATAGGGTCAGAATTAGCATTTTATTAGTTGCAGGTATATATTTTTAGTGAATTGTCACTTAGTGTGATGTTGGCTAAGTAAACCGTTAGTGAAATGAAGGCGGATCTGGTTGATACTGGAAGAAGAAAAATTTTTTACAAAATTTAATTATCTTGTTAATTATCGATTATGATTGATAGTTAACGAGATTATTAAATTTTGTAAAAATTTCCTTTTAGCTTATCGTCTTTATTATTTGTTTTATATATTTTTTTTATTTGACATTCGGTAGGGGTTTTTGATATAAGACTTATGAAGAGTCTCATAGGTTTCCATGGTCATACTATTTACTGACCTATATTCTTTAATCGCAGGTATTATATGATAGCATTAAGCATGTAGTTTTGGGAGTTGGAGGCCACTCTTAGAATATTTTTAAAATATTTTAATAAATTTTTTAGCTCACTTCTTAATAAATATCTATGAAATTATATATTAATACTGTAATAAAGCATTTGTAAAGATAAGTGTTTATTATATACCTGAGTTGATTACAAGAATTGTTAGTAAACGATTCTTCCCGAGTGGCTATATACATTTGGAGGAACTTGTAATAGACTTGACATAACTCCTCACCTAGCCTTTTATAACTATTATATAAATTATTTAATCGAAAATTATTATTTTTATTATATTTCGCAGTTCATAGGCTGTCAAATGCATTATATCAGATATATTCTTCATTATTTTGAGAGCTTGAAATCTAGGAACCAACGTTAATCGTTGTTCAAATTTTTGAATTACTTGGCCCCCATACTGCTCAAGTAAAAGATCTTTAGTAAAATCTAGCATATACTTAAAGAGGCCAAGATCCAATATATACATTCGATCAGAGACAATAGCTTCATATATATTGAAGTTTCTACAAATTATTATAATTATATATTAATGTATTATGATTATATATTAATTTATTACGATTATACAATTCAGTAATAAACTGTTGATATTATACCTTATTTCCCAAAATGCATTTGCTTTAGGATGAATTAAATTATTATGTGCCTCACCATTATTAATCGCTTGCTTCATATTATTTGGTGTTTTAGGTAAGGCATTAGTTAAATATAATTTATTCAAATCATCTTTTGCTACTAAACATGAATGGCATGGCCGTTTTGAAGTGGATGGTTAATAAAATTGGATATTTTATCAGCTTCAGCCAAATCGGCCAAAATTGTTGATACTCGAGGAATAAAGAGAACTATTTCGTCACAAATTACAAAGTAAAGCTCTGGTCTATACACTATAAGCCAGAGAAGAATCACCATACACTTCTGAAAAACTTCTCTTTGTAATTTATGAAAACCTTCAAAATTTTTGGTTTTAGTATCCTTGGCCTTTAAGATTGGAAGGTATCAAATTAATGCTTTGGATTCTAGTTTATTCCTCTGGTTGTTAGGAATGTTGCCAAGGGACAAGAATATTGGATAACCAGAGGATTTACCCATATAATCAAGGGTTGTTGCATCTGAATAGAGTATAATTGATAATAAATTATGCCTGGGAAGTAATGCTGATTCTTCTTGCCTCCACCAATTACAATTATACTGTTCCTTAAATACACAATGTTCTACACCATTTATTAATTCTTTTTTATTTTCATATTGTAGAACCAATGATTGATTGACACTATTGATCATTAATAAAGACTTTATAGTCTTTATTAATGATTGATAGCAAAATATAAATTCAACATTTTGAAACGTTGTAACTGGAATTCCTTTGAGTATTATATAAGAGACAGTAGAATTGTCTAGAAATTTTTTACCTATTCTTGTTGATGGAGATAATAGTGAAATGTCCAACCTTGAATATTTGTTGAAGAAGGTTATAATAGCATCACCAGCTGAGTTAGACAATTGATACTTATTAACTATCTCTATAAATTTACAATAGGCTTCGTTAGGCTATTCAACAGTTGGTGGATGTTTCAAATTAGCAAAAGCATTATTATAAGATATACCTTCATAGTCTTCAAGATCATATTCCACCAAAGAAAACACATTTGTTGAAAGAGGTTCAATTTCTATATTAGAATGAGGTGATGTTGATATGTCTTCATATTAAAAAAATATAATGTTATGCTACATTTTATAATCTATAACTTATATAACTATTTTATACAACTAATTTACTTAATAAACCTCGGTATCCATAGAAGAACCTAATCCAGATTGAAATAATTCTGGTATAATTTCATCCTTTAACAAATATAATCGCTTAATAATGCTTATAAAAGTTGCCTAATAACTTTATAGATTATAAATATTTACCCCATATATTATAGAGCTATTGTAATTATATTCTGAAGAAGAATCATAGCTAGAGTTATATTCTAGAAGAATATAAATACTTTCATCATCTTGTTCAGTAGGAACAGCTTGAGTTGTTAAAAATGTTGGATTACTAATATAAAAATGTCTTTGTAAAATATGTTGAGTCAACACAAAAAATTTTAAAAAACTATTGCTACAATAGTCACAATACTAATGCATTTTAAAAAATAAAAAAAATAAAAATAAAAGAGTGATAAAGAAAGAATAAAAAAAATAAAAAATAATAATAA